GGTACCCTTGCTACCCGGATAGAAATACCCGATACGGTACCCATGCTACCCGGATAGAAATACCCGATACGGTACCCTTGCTACCCGGATAGAAATACCCGATACGGTACCCATGCTACCCGGATAGAAATACCCGATACGGTACCCATGCTACCCGGATAGAAATACCCGATACGGTACCCATGCTACCCGGATAGAAATACCCGATACGGTACCCATGCTACCCGGATAGAAATACCCGATACGGTACCCATGCTACCCGGATAGAAATACCCGATACGGTACCCTTGCTACCCGGATAGAAATACCCGATACGGTACCCATGCTACCCGGATAGAAATACCCGATACGGTACCCTTGCTACTCGGATAGAAATACCCGATACGGTACCCATGCTACCCGGATAGAAATACCCGATACGGTACCCATGCTACCCGGATAGAAATACCCGATACGGTACCCATGCTACCCGGATAGAAATACCCGATACGGTACCCATGCTACCCGGATAGAAATACCCGATACAGTACCCTTGCTACCCGGATAGAAATACCCGATACGGTACCCATGCTACCCGGATAGAAATACCCGATACGGTACCCATGCTACCCGGATAGAAATACCCGATACAGTACCCATGCTACCCGGATAGAAATACCCGATACGGTACCCATGCTACCCGGATAGAAATACCCGATACGGTACCCTTGCTACCCGGATAGAAATACCCGATACGGTACCCATGCTACCCGGATAGAAATACCCGATACGGTACCCTTGCTACTCGGATAGAAATACCCGATACGGTACCCATGCTACCCGGATAGAAATACCCGATACGGTACCCATGCTACCCGGATAGAAATACCCGATACGGTACCCATGCTACCCGGATAGAAATACCCGATACGGTACCCATGCTACCCGGATAGAAATACCCGATACAGTACCCTTGCTACCCAGATAGAAATACCCGATACGGTACCCATGCTACCCGGATAGAAATACCCGATACGGTACCCATGCTACCCGGATAGAAATACCCGATACAGTACCCATGCTACCCGGATAGAAATACCCGATACGGTACCCATGCTACCCGGATAGAAATACCCGATACAGTACCCATGCTACCCGGATAGAAATACCCGATACAGTACCCATGCTACCCGGATAGAAATACCCGATACGGTACCCATGCTACCCGGATAGAAATACCCGATACGGTACCCATGCTACCCGGATAGAAATACCCGATACGGTACCCTTGCTACCCGGATAGAAATACCCGATACGGTACCCTTGCTACCCGGATAGAAATACCCGATACGGTACCCATGCTACCCGGATAGAAATACCCGATACGGTACCCTTGCTACCCGGATAGAAATACCCGATACGGTACCCATGCTACCCGGATAGAAATACCCGATACGGTACCCATGCTACCCGGATAGAAATACCCGATACGGTACCCATGCTACCCGGATAGAAATACCCGATACGGTACCCATGCTACCCGGATAGAAATACCCGATACGGTACCCATGCTACCCGGATAGAAATACCCGATACGGTACCCTTGCTACCCGGATAGAAATACCCGATACGGTACCCATGCTACCCGGATAGAAATACCCGATACGGTACCCTTGCTACTCGGATAGAAATACCCGATACGGTACCCATGCTACCCGGATAGAAATACCCGATACGGTACCCATGCTACCCGGATAGAAATACCCGATACGGTACCCATGCTACCCGGATAGAAATACCCGATACGGTACCCATGCTACCCGGATAGAAATACCCGATACAGTACCCTTGCTACCCGGATAGAAATACCCGATACGGTACCCATGCTACCCGGATAGAAATACCCGATACGGTACCCATGCTACCTGGATAGAAATACCCGATACAGTACCCATGCTACCCGGATAGAAATACCCAATACGGTACCCATGCTACCCGGATAGAAATACCCGATACAGTACCCATGCTACCCGGATAGAAATACCCGATACAGTACCCATGCTACCCGGATAGAAATACCCGATACGGTACCCATGCTACCCGGATAGAAATACCCGATACGGTACCCATGCTACCCGGATAGAAATACCCGATACAGTACCCATGCTACCCGGATAGAAATACCCGATACGGTACCCATGCTACCCGGATAGAAATACCCGATACGGTACCCATGCTACCCGGATAGAAATACCCGATACGGTACCCATGCTACCCGGATAGAAATACCCGATACGGTACCCATGCTACCCGGATAGAAATACCCGATACGGTACCCATGCTACCCGGATAGAAATACCCGATACGGTACCCATGCTACCCGGATAGAAATACCCAAACTTGTTACCCGACCGAGAACATATTACAGTGTTGCTCAAGGGAATCCAATCCCGTGAGGCAATGCCACGTCGGGCACTAGACCTGCGGACACCGCGGTGTGCACTGGCCCAGGGCAAACGCTTAACTCACGAAGATCGGATTTCACTGAACAGCACTTATTTATGTTAAAACCTGTTCAGCGCGAATCACGCAAATGCACGAGATGGTGGATGTAATTGGCCCACGGATGACGTGCATAACTTATACGCGATGCGTACAGTGAAAACGAACGTACTCACTGAGACATTCGTGGTCGATGGATCTTGTCCCTACATGAACCAGTTACGTGCTGGATGAACGACGACTGCTCTACTATAGTACTGATGGCCGCACATGCCGCTGTGCACACGTACATAGATGTCGCCCGCTCGTGGACACCCGTTACCGTACCCGAAATGAAAGTGTTCCTGGGCTTGCTCTTGAACATGGGCCTTGTTCCTAAGCCCGATCTTGACCACTGTTGGAGTACGGATCCCATCATCGCCACACCGTTCTACAGCCGCAATATGCCGCACGAGCGCCTCACCTCTACCCTGAACTTTCTGAACTTCATGGACAACACTGAAGAAGATCCCAACGATAAGCTCTCCAAGATATGGGCTTTTCTGACGTTGCTTCAGGAGCGATTCATGAGCGTTTACACTCCCAACGAGTAAATTTCAATAGACAAGGCCGGAGGAACTGGTAGCGTTCAAGGGAAGAATATCATTCCGAATCATTCCGCCAATATATTCCGTCGGAGCGAGCACGCTTCGGCATGAAAATCTATGCGCTCTGCGAGGACAGCGGTTACCTGTTCAATTTGATCGTCTACGTCGGGGAAGGACAACGAGACCTTCTGCCCTGAGAAGGTCAAGGAGCTCGGCGTGTCCGGTGCGGTAGTGCACAAGCTCATTGAGCCGCTTCTCGGGAAGGGGTATGAGCTGTACGTGGACAACTGGTACACGAGTATCCCGATAGCCACCTACCTCAAGGGCAACGCAACGGGTGTGTGCGGTACCATTCGCAAGAACCGCATCGGACTACCGAAGCGTATAGCAAATTTAAAGGGGCTGAAGAAAGGCCACTTTCTGTACCGGAGCGGTGGTGGCATGATGTTCATAAAGTTGGAGGACACAAAGGAGGTGCATTTTCTGTCCACGATGCACAAGGCAGAACCCACTGGCAAGAGAGATCGGCAGCGCCGCCCAGTCCGCAAGGTTCCTCTTGTAACAGGACTACAACAAGAAGATGGGTGGGAGTTGGCAAGAATGATGAGATGCTGTCGTTCTATACCGCTGCACGAAAGTCCCAGAAGTGGTACAAGAAGCTCGCCGTGCATCTGATCGAGCAAGCACTCCTGAACGCGTACATACTGCACAGGAAGTCGGTTTTGGCTCCGCGGGTCATTTACACACCCTGGCCGTGCTGACCGGGTTAATGAGTGTGCAACTGCCTATCTCTTCAGCTGCGATGGGGTCTCCCACGGCGCGGAACGTCTTCATTGCGTCATTCTACGGCAGACAGTAAGATCAAGTGCGCAAGATTCCCGATACGGCGTGAGTTCATCAGGTTCAGTATGCATGGATCTACCATCCACTGTCCTGCTTTTAAACGAGAGAGCTTGGAAGCTCAGGGCCCTACGCTATGCTTTTTTGCCTTGATGACCTAGACAAAAAAAAGGATAGGGATTTTATAAATTCTTTAAAAAACTCCTTTTTTTTTAAAGACATAACCTGGGATTCGAACCCGCACTATCGCGCGCCCTGCATGCATCCCCGATACACTTCGCATACATACTAATTCTTCCAAGTTGTTTCACATTGCGATCTTGCATTTGAGAGCCCTATTTGAATATGCATTGTGGCCAGCCGTCTTTGATGGCACGGTACGGTAGGGGATAGGGACGGGACAGGTACGATCGAGGGTAATACGACACCGTCTCCCGTACCGTACCGTACCATCAAACACAGCTGGCCACATACAGCTGCCCGCAATATTCAAATAGGGCTTTCAAACGCAAGATAATAACGTAAAGCAACTTGGAAGAATGGGTATGAATGCGAAGTGTATGGGGGAATGCATGTAGGGCGATAGTGCGGGTTCGAATCCCAGGATATGCCTGAAAAAAATAGGAGAATTGAAAAATTTATAACATCCTATGCTTTTTTGCCGTCAGATACGGATAGCGCCAGGCGTGACACAAACAAACAAACACACAAACAAACACCAAATTAAAGCTGTGTGGACCCTGGCTAGCGCCAGACGTTACTGAAGTAACGTCTTCTGCATAGCTACGGGAATAAAAAATTCTAATGAACTACAATAGCCATGGTGTACAGTGCTGTTCAATGATATCCAGTCGAGGCACTCAAGTACGCGCCGGGCGTTGCCCAGGCCCCAGGCCTGCCTTCACTGGCCTGCGACATGGTGCAAGGCGCAAACTTGACCCGGGCGACCGGATTCCATCGAACAGCACTGTACAAGTCTTTGCACTGTTGTCGTGCAGCTTACGCCATATTGATATGCATTCTCGGATGGAGAGCTAAGGATTAAAATTTAAAAAAAAGAGGACCACGAGTTTACAAGTTATCCGTTTTGTCCAACACTAACGGTTATAAGCAGAATACTGCTAACGGATAACTTGTAAACGTATGGTCCTCTTTTTTAATACATGCAAGTGTTCGCATATGCTGAACGAACAAATACTATCCGGGCGTACCAGCAAGCCAAACGGGCAGCCACGAAAATATGCCGGTATTGGCAAATAAACGAGAGAGCTTGGAAGCTCAGGGCCCTACGCTATGCTTTTTTGCCTTGATGACCTAGACAAAAAAAGCACAGGGATGTTATAAATTCTTTAAAAAATTCCTTTTTTTTTTAAACATAACCTGGGATTCGAACCCGCATTATCGCGCGCCCTGCATGCATCCCCGGATACACTTCGCATACATACAAATTCTTCCAAGTTGCTTCACGTCATGATCTTGCATTTGAAAGCCCTATTTGAATATGCATTGTGGCTAGCCGTCTTTGATTGTACGGTACGCTACGGGATAGGTACGGGTCAGGTACGGGACAGGTACGGGACATATACGGTAGAGGGTAATACGCACCGTCTACCGCCTTGATGACGGCAAAAAAAGAAAAGGGATGTTATAAATTTTTCAATTCTCCTATTTTTTTCAGGCATTACCTGGGATTCGAACTCGCACTATCGCCCTACCTGCATTCTACCGTACAGTTCGCATTCATACTCATTCTTCCAAGTTGCTTCACATTATGATCTTGCGTGTGAAAGCCCTATTTGAATATTCCGGCCAGCTGTGTGTGGCCAGCTGTGTTTGATGGTACGGTACGGTACGGGGCAGATATGGAATAGCGCCAGGCGTGACACAAACACACAAACAAACAAACAAACACCAAATTAAAGCTGTGTGGACCCTGGCTAGCGCCAGACGTTACTGAAGTAACGTCTTCTGCATAGCTACGGGAATAAATGTTACAATGCTGGCCTACTCACGCAATACTCGGTCGTATCGTCGGCATGGGCCTACAGGCGAGACTGCGCAGGCCAGTGATGCACGCTGCCAGGTCAAAGTCCAGAACCGGGGCTTCGCACAGCTCCGGCACACTCCACTCGCATCTGAAACGCACACACAGAGAGAATGCAAACGCGCAATCGCAGCGACGAGAGCAGCACGAGACGTCAGGGACACTTGGCCACTGCACGGTGAACCCTGTCTAAGACGACCGCTCAAAGGACTTTCAAAGTGTGGTCTCTGTCACCAGGTGGTCTCCTTATCCAGTGCCATTTGACTGGAGATAGAGATAGCATCCCCTGGTCCTGGCTGCAGTGGTCTTCTGGGACAGGTGGTCGCCTTATCCGAGTGGTCGCCTTGACAAGTTCTACTGTACAGGTACCGGCACTGATTAGATTACCATGGTAACAACGCTATACACATACCCCAGCCCAGTGCATGCTAAGTGTGCAGTTGCGTGGTGACGTAGGGAATTCCAAACGCTAGGTAAATAATAATAATACATGTACACAGTACTGTTGGGCGCCGAAGAACGGCCAGGCTAGAATTTCAACAATTTTTAAGAACGGCCAGGCTAGAATTTAAACAATTTTTTACAACGGCCAGGCTGGAATTTCACCAATTTTTAAGAACGGTTTAGGCTGGATTTTTCGCAGATAAGAACGGATACCGCAATGTACACTATAATGTACACTCAGACGTATAACTCTGCATAGATGTACATGTAAGACTGTACCATCAAAATAAGAACAGGCTAGGCTAGAACCCTGCCCCCCCCCCCCCCCCCCCGTTCTTCGGCGCCCGGCGCAGTACTGTAGTAGTGCTAGGAGAAAACTCAGAAAAGCGACCCAAAGTACAGAGTCGGTACCCTGGACCAGCTGTGATTGCATCACTGTAGGTGTACACGCGTGCATCCAGCTATATTCACACACACACACACACACACACACGCACGTACACACACGCACGCGCATGCGCGCACACACACACACACACGCACGCGCACACACACACACACACACATTGGGCCATCTAGGATACCACCGTCTGCAGAGACGGGAGGTGACTAGGCGGAAACTGGCGTACGTACTTGTTCAACGGAGCAATCTCCAGGAAAGCGTCGGCTGATTGTGTGAAGGGCATGGACGGCATGCGAAACAGAGTGGACAGGTGAAAGCGGATAAGCTCCATCATGGAGCTGGCCAGCTCACCGAGAAAATCCTGGGCACAACCATGAACAGAAGCACGAATATACAGGTTTTTCTGAATGACGCACCATAGTACATGTACAATAGATAAACCTAGTATTGTAGAAACAAGTGCTTTAGTCTGACAGCATATTACAAGGTGGTGGAACACCATGTTCGGAGCTCTACCGACCGTGGATGGTTGGAGTACGGTGCACTGTTTCCGAACACGCTGCTCCACCACCTTGTTTAATATGCTGTCAAACTAAAAATAATAGTTCTCCACTAGTTTGAGGGAAAGACACAAACGGGAAAAGTCTGAAGAAAAAATTGACTGTCACCACCAGGACTCGAACCAGGGACCCTCGCTTGTAGCTAGCGATGCTCTAACCACTGAGCTATGGTGTAGTCGTCATCCCAGCACAGAGACCGCTCAACATTTTCTTCAGACTTCTATAATAGTACATGTAAATTTGCCACTCAGGAGTCCATAAAATATCACTTTTGCCAGTCGGCTGGCTTCCGTGTTCGGGTTTTTAGTCTTAGAGTCAGTCCAATGTTTCTCACATACTAGGCAGCATCCAGCAGGTTTGCCGCCCAGCTGTCTTCCTTTTTTCCATTTTTTTCTCTTTTTTTACACCACAGTCCTACTGGAGAACATGCGCAGAACAAAAAGAAACGAGGAAAAGGACAACACACTGGGGATGTAGGGACGACGTGCCGATGTGCTGGGAGCAACTCAACCGACCAGAGGTCTCGGTGTCAGCTTTGCAACTAGGCATCAAAAAATGGGGGGGGGGGGGAGGTTGCACAAGAAGACCGCAAAACAAACAGAAGCTAGAGAATACCACAAAAATAATAACTTGGTGCGAAATAATGAGAAGAAAATAATGACGCCCCAAAGCGCTAAATACGAAATTAACCCTTTGTGACCCCACTGAAAGTACGACAATTTACTCACCTTCAACTAACATGCACTTTCGCTTGTATCTCTACCAAACATTCACCGATTTTTACAAACTAGCCACCGTTGGAAAGGTATTTCCAAGACGAAGCGACTAATACCACACTCAAGCCAGCTAGCTGCACGGCTTCTGCTCTGCGTGGCCTAGAATGCCGCTCAAAACAGCAGCCGTGCGCGAACAGCTTCAGCCAAGTTCAAACAGCCGCCATTCCATTCTCATTCATCACATCGACTTCAAACAAACTACAGCGGACGGCTCGTTTCAAGCGCAAAATTTTGGTGTGCAGCATGCTTGAGTATGACGTAGCATTCCGGGGAAAATACCCCGCCAAGTGCAGCGTGAATTTTTGAAATTTTCGATCGGAGTGCATTTTTCGGTTTTTCTCCGACTTCAAAGCTCACCACGGCGGCATCGTAACTCCAAGAGACTTCGGATAACTTCGACGTGATAGCCAAGGTTCTTCACGAAACGTAGATGCTTCGTTTATGAAAATAGATTAAAAGGAACACCAGAGATATATATTTTTAGTGCCACTGTATACCAATCGATCGATATCGATCGATGGGGTCACAAAAAAAATCATGGTTCGCGTGAGACTCGGCCAAAGGCCCAGTTTTCCGCATCCGCAGGAACGCCACCACCCTCTTGGATCAAGGCGCAGATGCAGCTCCTAAGCGGTGGTCACAAAGGGGTCACAAAGGGTTAAGAAAAAGGGAAATCATAAACCACCGAGCGCTACAACTGCACCAAACAACAATTTAAACAATTAAACTAAACTGGGTGAAAACCAAGAAATCATAACAAAACGAAACAAACTAATAATAAAAGGTAACTATTTTTATAGAAAAGAAAAAGGGACCAAGGAGGTACAAGTTCCGCTATAATGTCCACTAACACCACCAGTTACTAAACAATCAAAACACAAACTTTTTTTAAACTTTTTAATGGCAGTATACGATGTGATGGAAAACCCTGGAAAACCCGACACGGCTAGGTTGGGCATGCGGCCTACTCGTCGCTATGCTACTGTCCCCATTGCTGTCACAGATCGCACCCCAGCGCAGGAGGGGAAACCCCCACGTTCAAACCTGAATGTTTCTAGACTGCGGAGTGCACTAGCGGTCGCCTTGCAATCGGAAACTCCCGAATTTTTGCAGACCTTTTTTCACAACAGGACAGATACTCTGGTGGCGTAAATTCTTGTTTCATGTTTGAAACCAGAATTTCGTCTTACACGTGTGTGTGTGTGTGCGCGCGCGTGCGCGCGCGTGCGCGCGCGTGCGCGTGCGTACGTGTGTGTGCTTGGAGCACATGGTCTCACCTGGCATGCAGGTTTGGCTGTTGTCACTCTCAACTCCACACACACACACACACCTACAGTACAAGCTGCTGTTCCTGTTAGTATTATTATTTTATTTTTTTCACCTTGTCATGTCCTTTCCTCCCTCTCTCATAACAGCCACCTTCACTTCCTTTCCCCAGGAGACTCCCTTTGATAGGCATCCATTTGCCTCTGGAGAATCCTTGAAATATACATATAACTAAGTGTCAAATCAGTTGATCCCCCGAGCTGCAGAGACGACTGAGTTGTCTGATGATTGCCTAACGGCATGAAACTCAGAGTTACAACCAACCTGAACGTCCTCCGCTGAGTCTGCTATGCAACTAAGCATCAATATTATCAATACAAGGTGGTCGACTCTAGTCTGCACTTTACTTCAGAAACAGTTGTTTTTTCACAGTGCTGTCCGGCTGAATCCTACAGACAGCCTGAGAGTGATTTCCTTGAAATTCCCGGAAAATCCGATCATAGAAGAATTCTAGCACCATTTGATTGGGTTAAAAAAATTATTATTTTTAACAAGATAAAAAGGATCTGGGGAAAATTCCCATCAGAGCACACTCCTCTCATGGTAGCTCACCGTTGCCTGCCTGCTCATAGCCGTCGTGTGTACAAAGCGGGCACCTTGCTGTTTCTGCTGCTGCTGCTGCTGCTGCTGCTGAGATTTTGCCCACCAAGATAGGGGTGATTGTTTCGTCCCAGGTGCTGTGGCTGCTGCTGCTGCTGGTGTTACAGTAGTTGGCATGTTACGACCAGCAGCAGGCAGGGAGCGATAGGTCCGTACGATACCGGCTGCATCCTACGTAGTTTGGCCAAAAGAGAGGTACATACAAGAAAACACGAGAACAAGCATAGATACTGGGTGGATACGGCACATTGGCGGCAGATACTCGCACAGGCGACTGAACACGACATTCTAAAACAATTCACGATAACAAATGCTGGGTCTTGAACTATACCCCCTCCCCCCCCCCCCCCCCCCTTCAGCACACACACGCACATACATACACGCAGAAAACCCCGCATGCCAGCGTTTTATCAGGAGTCAACTACACACCCTCCTAAACACATACTGTAGTGTCTTGTATAAAAGCCTGCCTTGTATAGAAGCCTGTTTGGAATACAAGCCTGATTTTTAAGATATACTGTCGGCACATATTAAAGCCAGGTTTAGTGTTGACATACATAGAGATACGTGGTTTGAATAGTAGCCTGACTTGAATAGAAGATTACAATGTAATACTGATATCGGCTTATAAGGCCGTAAGCACCTGCTTTTATACGCGACATTACGGTAACCATATGGCCAGCACATGCTCAGGAGAACTACGTCGCACGCTGCTGAGAAAGATTACCTTGTTGATTTGAATGAGGCACTGCAGGCCGCCCAGGACGCTCCTGGACAATGCGGCATTCCGCTTGCGCAGTTTCGTCAGAGTCCTCGTTACCGCGGGAACCAGCTGGCCGACCGGCGAGCCGTGGAGGAGCTGAGCAATGAGCTCAACGCGCTCGCGCACACTCTCGACACCAGTGTTGTCACCACCACCACTGTTTCTGCCACCGGCAGTATTTCCACTGTTACCAACGCCACTACTGACACCACCGGCAGTATTTCCACTGTCACCAACGCCACTACTGACACCACCGGCAGTATTTCCACTGTCACCAACGCCACTACTGACACTGTCGCCGCCGTCGCTTCTGTTGCCGTTCCCGGCCGTCGTCATGGCGTTGATAGCTTGCACGCTGGCCGCGAGCAGCTGCATTCCCAGCATAGAACACACGCGCGCGCACGCACACACACACACACACACACACGACATTAAATGAGCGAGAAGACCGCCAGATGAGACCTTGTCATCCGAAGACTTCCCCTTTCACAGCAAATCCAGGGACTTCCCCTTTCACAGCAAATCCAGGGACATCCTTATCACAGCAAATCCAGGGACTTCAAAACAGTTCCCGAGCCGAGAATAAATTTAGCTGAAGTTGCTTCGTGAAAATACCATATACTTCAAAAGTACAGCGAAACCTGTCTAAGACGACCTCTCAAGGGACCTTCAAAAATCTGGTCTCTGTTTCCAGGTGGTCTCCTTATCCAGGGTCGTTTGACTGGAAATAGCATCCCTTAGTCCTGGTTGCAGTGGTCTTCTAGGACAGGTGGTCGCCTTATCCGAGTGGTCGCTTTGACAGGTACACACTGTAGATAAACTAGCAGAGCGACCTGCAAGCAGTTTAATCCCAGCTACAATGTACCTTCGCTCCACTAGCGTAGACAGCAGCCGATAGCAGAGAGATTTTCTCGGAATGCTAAGCATACGGGAAGCAATATGTATGCACACACAGAGACACACGTGCACACATACACACATATACACACACAAACGTAAACACACACACACATATGCACACACACACACATGTACACACATACACACACATACACACACATACACACACACACACATGTACACGTACAGCAGTATGAGTTGCAGCAGAGGCAAGTCACTCTGAGCGAGACGAAACAAAACAAAACTTTGCCGTGGGCTCATTCCCCCGGAGTTGCACACTCAGCCGTAGGCGTATGTGCATGGTACTGTCGTGGATATTGAAATCCGATGGGATGACCGGGGCCGGCGCCCTGGCTGCTTTTAGTGCGTACTACACATGCACTGTAATTCAAGTACACACTGTAAAAAATGGACCAGCAGTGTTCACGGCTGCACGGCCAGCACCCCGTGGCCGCTTCACTTCTCAATGGATGCTAATGTCCGCAACATAACAGTACTCGTATGATAATTGCTTGTAGTTGTGTCATCTTATTATTTCCAATACTAAAAACATTATTCATACTTGGTCACATTTCATTTTTCATACTCGGTGTTGAATTTTTCATCATAGCATATAGTGTGTTTCAAAAGTCCAGACCTCTGGTTTCAAAAAACCGTTAGGCCAGCATCTATACCACATAAAATCTGTGATCACTTTGTGCATAAATTTTCGAAATTGGGCGTCTGTTATCCAATTACTTAGAAATTTACATGAGAAAAATTGCGTGAGCTGCCTGAGCAATATTCCGAAGAAATTTCTCAAAAAGTTCAAACCAAAATTTGAATTATTCGAAAAAGTCTAGAGGTCTATACTTTTGAAACGCACTATAGGAGCTGTGGCATCATGCATGATCCACAGCAAGAAGGCAGCAATGCCTGTACCTATGGTGAAGTAAAATAAAAGGTAACATAACATAACATGACCGAGGGCGAGGGGAATACCCTGTCACATGACCGAGGGGAATACCCTCAACACATTACACGTAGCTGGCCACGCCACATGAGAAAGAGCCACGGGGAATACCCTGTCACATGACCGAGGGGAATACCCTCAACACATTACACGTAGCTGACCACGTCGCATGAGAAAGAGCCACGGGGAATACCCTGTCACATGACCGAGGGGAATACCCTCAACACATTACACGTAGCTGACCACGTCGCATGAGACAGAGCCGAGGGGAATACCCTCAGCCGCTCTTACGCACGTGAACCGGACGACAGCTCACGGCTGCCGAGGCGAATGTCAAGCCAAGGTCTAGTTGAAACTCACCCATGTCTTGTCGTCGGGAGCAGCAACATCACTAGCAGTGAATAAGGAGCAGTAGCGGCACGCAAGGTTACGGAACAAGGCTAGCAGCACGCCAGTGCTGGGCAAGACAAGCTGTACGGGACATACGGCAGCACGTGGACATGCGCGTATGCACGTACGCACACACATGCACGCATACATGCGCTCACAAACACACACATACACACACACACACACACACACAGCATGGTACAATGGACATGAAAGCAACAAAAGCAAGCAGAACTCGGCTGAAAATATGACAACGAGTGCGTTGTGGCACTATCGGACTGTAGTACATGTAGTGTAATATCTCGTTACCTTGGTGGACTGTTAGTCGTAACTAGTAACTAACTTATAGGTCATTTTCTCTTTACACATTTATTACTATTGGCTCAACATCCGAGCAACATCAGTCCCTACATTTCTAGATGGCGGCCTTACCGGAAGCTTGCGGATGGATTTTTCCAGGTCGTCAGCGGTCACATGCTGGACGGTGTTCAACTCTGCAAGGCTCTCCTCCGTGGAGATGGAGAGAAGCAAGTCGTGGATCTCCTGGTCCGTTCTAAGTATAGGTACAGTGCAACCGATGCGAAAGCACATACGCATGTGCACATGCACACACGCGCGCGCGCATGCACACACGTACGCACACACACATGCACATGCACATTCACACACATGTAACCACACACACGCGCAAACACAAACACACACACACACACACACACACACACACACACAGAAAAGAGGGGGAGTGAGAATTACTTCGTGATGTACAACAAGATTATGTGAGGCATCGGCAGCAAGAACCGGGGTACTGACGATTTTTCAAAATGCCAGTATTAGCGAAAAACCGAATCGATGTCGTTGAAAAGATTTCTTACGCTATCGCTTTGATAGTGCCTTCTTCTTGGTGGCTTCACTATAATTTGTCGTCGTCGCCGTTTTAGTTTATCCGCCAAGCACTTGGGACGTCCAGACTTTTGGCTTCACGAATTGCTCCGCTTGTCACATCATTAAATTTTCTGTACACCATGACAATGAAGGAGATACCATCCTGTCCCCAGCAACAGAGCCAGCATTCACAAACGCCAACGCTAGCTACCGCCAACACTAGAGCCACACCACTCTCCATCGGAGAAAACAACAGCCGACCTGCCAGGCCCACTATACCCTGAAGACCAGGAACAAGCAGCGGATGGTGGATTGAAAACATGTGCATGCGAGTAGACACTACACTGCGCCGACCGCAGGCGAGGCAGCACTCCCAGAATGCGCCTTGACAACAGGAAGTTACGAGTCTGTCGTCGCGCTTGCCATTACATCGAACTGGGTTACAGCGGCAGACTTCAGCTTGGCAAAGCCGACCGCATTCATTGTGGCTCTATGAGTTTGTTGTGCTGGCTGTCGTTGAGAAGGAGAAACGCGGCCTCTCCACATGGCGCACAGCGTGGGATATGGATGGAATCCACCTCGACATCGAGGTTGCCGCTGTATATGTAGCTGCTGGTCTGCCGTCACGTGAAACTGAGCCTCTTCTTTGGAATCGGCGCACAATGCACATTTTCGCCCTGTCAGTACACAATGTCTTGGCGGAGAGACAGTTTAATCTTGCGGCGACATACCTGTCACCAAACGAGAGCGAGGTCAGCAAGCAGAGCTCACATCTGTTCGTACAGAACATTCTGCATGCCAACTCCAGCTCGCCTGGTGGTGCAGTGACCAGGGCTACCGCCAGGCATCCATTAGCAGTATGAAAGCCTACTGCCAGTCCATCACACCGGAGATCGTCGAGCACGGGAAGAACATTGCAACAAGGAAGGCATCCGGCGGCACTGCTGGTCGAACTCAAACATCCAGAGAGTTCTACAGAGAGGTCTGCAGAGGTGTGTTGGACCGACATCGTTTGAGGCCTCGCCATGCCAAAATGGTTGCAGCTTTGGAGGTTGAAGGAAGAGGCAGCGTCGTAACATTCATCCCACCTCGGCAGTCAGCTGCAAGTTTGGCTGCAGAGATGTTCATTTCTCGTTGGCTGAACGCAGTGAAATAAACGAGAAATTGTGTTCTTTGTAGATTTTTTTGGCACGTGGTGGAGGATGGATGTGAGGGCACAGTTTTTGCTGGAAACTGGTGCTGGCGTGGATTGCTGATCATTGTTTTTCTTCTTGCCAAGTGGAAGGTTGAAAATTCCGAGTACACATAGTTAGTTGAGAACCTTTTCATGATCAGAAATGAGTCGACGTGGTGTAAGCGCTGCAGCCAGAGGCAGAGGTAGAAGAGGTGAGAGAGGAGGTGCCAGAGCCTCGTCTGTTTTTGAATTCCCGGACTCTGATTTAGTTGGCAACACCTCGTCGTCGGAATACGAAACCGCCAAAGAGAAGCAGCCACATTGTGCAACTGAGGCGGAGGCTCTGGCGCCTCCGATAAATCGCATGCCGCATTCCCAGCTGGAAGCAGAGAGAAAACTGCTGGGAATGAAGATCCGGATGTTGGAACGGAATATCAGAGGGTTGACAAAACGAGGCAGATCCTTGAAGAGGAAAAGGCCGACGGACTCGTCAGACACAAATTCCCAATCGTCGTCGTCAGAGTCATCACGGTCTTCCTCCTCGTCACCATCTAGGTCGAGGTACCCAAGACGGAGGAAGAGCCTGAAGTCAACCAGCAGTGACACCGCGAGCTGGAAGTCCAGGAGCTACGCGACGCAGTTTGAGCTGAATTCAGAGCTGCTGGATGTACTTCACGCATTGAAATCCAAGTCGAAGAGAAAGAGAAGGAAGGCAGCAAGAAAAGGTGAGAGATTGCTAAGGAAGAGGCAAGAGTGGTCAAAGAACGCTCTTTTCCGGCTGCACAACGAAGCCTCCCCCTTTGCCTCGTCGATTATTTCTCCTCCATCAGAATGAGTCTGATGGTCAGGTGAGAATATATTATTTACTTCTACTCGTTTCATCACAGCGGATTCGTGGTCAACTCTTCATGGTTGCATGCACTAAAAAATGTTTAAATGTAGTGCGTGGAACGCTGCTGTTCTTCTTATTCTTAATCTGATAGCCTTCGGGGGGTTCTAACAATCTTGGGCTCAACGGAAAGCTCTGAGCAAGACAAACGCAGCCATACCCAGCTCGCAAATGACAGAGTCGTAGGGGTAACGTCGCAGCGCGGTGCGAGCGCTCCAATGCCAGACCTACGAGAGCGGCACTAAATCGTCAGCCATTTCAACTATTTCAATGACAGAACGGTCATTTTGCAGGAGAGAGCTGAGATATGGAGCTGCAAAATGACGTGTGTCATGTGTGAATGCGTAGGCAGCGAGTCAGGGAACCCCCCTTGCGTGTGTTTCAAATTTACGTCGGCGAGAGCTGACTTGTGCCAGCAAATTTCGCTCGAGTGTCATAACTCTGCTCCAAGACCTCAGATCGTCTTCGGGTTTTTCGAGCCGACAGCTGAGGCCTTCCTGATACGAATAGACCTTTCGATCGTTGAATTCGGCCAAGGATTGACCGAATGGCGAAGGTTTGAAATCGCCTCAGCATGCACTGTACAGTCTGCCGGATTAATCCGCCCCTGTCGGTGCTAAAGGGTTACATTTCAGCATCCAAGGGCTAAGACGCTTTGACCGCCTCAAAATTTCAGCCTGTACTGCTGCTGCCTGTATAGTGTATACACTGTCACACTGAACTTTGAAAAACAAACGTGCGGCCGCAAAATAGCCGAAAATATATATTTGCCAAATATGGCACGTTCGGGCCTGGTTTAAATCTGGCTTTGGAAAATTTATTTTTCATTGCTATCAGGTTCGGCCTCATTTCCTCTGTGCTACGCTGATGAGTCCACAAAGGACGAAACAGTTCTGTCCGCGGATTGAGTATGCGCCAAATATTTGTTGATTTCCTTACAGGTGTCGAATCTACGAACTACCATATTATCATCTGATCCAATAACGGGCTTTCAAGACTAACTTACTCGACTAAGCGTGCAAATGATGGCTCTTTCTCCTCAGGATCCCAGGCGTAGGACAGTGATGCATTCAAGCTGAACTGCATGGCATAGAGTATAGACTCGTAGGCAATGCACTCCTCTGCAGAAGCTGCTGTCGACGGACAGGCTGATCTCAAGGTGGAGAGGTGTGAGTGCAGGCGAGACTTGATCAAGCGTACCTGCTCCTCCGCATTATCACAGAAGAAGAATGGACGGAACCTGTGGGGGAGAGAGAGAGAGAGACACGATGGAAGAAAGCTGTTACAGGCAACATGGTATATATTATAGCATGCTGTCGAAATCGAAAACAAATACACACACATGCACATACATGCACATACATGCACACCTTGAACCTTGAACGCCCATCCACAATCTGCACAATAGCGGTGTCAGGCTGAGCAGAAGCGGAAACGTCTTTTTAAGTCTCCAGGGCGGGAGAAGACACAAACACAGACTCACGGG